TATATCACACTCAATTTACAGCTGGGGGAGAGGAAGGTCTGAGAAGCTATTTATAAGGGCTGGACCATTGAACTGCAGATAACAGTCAGCTGAAGTGGCCTGCAGTACTGCACCCTAACCACTGCGCCACCTTGACAAGGTTGTAAGGATTTAATTAAGAGATTGGATATGGGAAAAAGAGATCATTTATAATATTTTAAAAGAAGATGCTAAGTTATAAACATTGTTTAAAATTGTGAGGAAGGGAAATCACTTTACATATTTCTTTCTCTTCACAATATTATTTTTCTTTGTTTTCTAATGTCTTTCATTTTTTTCTGCAACTTCTACTCTTTCTTTTTTATCTTCTACTTTTTTGGTTTGCATTTGTTTTATTTTAATTATATTTCTTTTATAAAATTACTGTATAGATCATTTTAACAATACTTTTATACAATAGATATTTTCTGTTAACTTGTGAAGCTTAATTTGGTTTTGGTTTTGAGTGTTGCTTTGTATAAATCTTGTGTATAGTACTGACCTATGGTATGGGGCATACCTAAAAATTTGATTTGATTGGCATGGAATTTATTTTTTAATATATATTTCCATGACCTTAAATAAAATGTGAGAAAATTAGCTACCTTTCTAAGTTATAAAGTCAAAGGTTGCCTATTTATACAAATTCTTTATTGTTTTCTGTACAATCAATTCTGTTAAGTTGTTAATTTAGTTTACTTTACTAGGTGGAATATTTCATCTTGCCCCATATAAAACTGTAAATTTCTAATAGTATTTTTATGGCTTGATAAATCAATTCAGGGGGGGAAATATTCATAAAATATACAAAGATTTTCAAATCAATTTTACCTCACTTTTTTAAAATCTAAAATTAATTGAAAAATGTTAAAAATTAAAAGATACATACTTCCATCTTTTAATGCAGTGTGCTGCTGTCAGTAATGAGTTGTTAGTAATTACTACTCCACCACAGATATGATGGTATCCTACACCTAAGCTGTAAACTTGAAGACTAACTTGCCATGGCCATGCTCCAAGTGGAGCATCGCGTCCTCCTACAATCCGATTGATTGATACTGTCTCATCCATAGCAGGCCTTGTTCCACATTCTAGAAAACAAAACACAAATACTAATTAAATGTAATATTTGTAAATAGTCCATAAAACACACTGCAGTTGGCATTAAAACAGATCCTGGAAGCAATTTCTAATTAGAATATAATTTGAGAGTCCATACTCTTCTTGTACATTATTTCTAAACACTGATCATGCAGAATTTATTAATATAGAATTTTTTTCAGCCTTCCCTCTTCCCTCCCTCGAATATTTTGTCTAGTAAAGATAATTTAATGATACTTTATAATGCTGCTCTAATATAACTAGTGTAAATATGGATTGCTTTGATTTTGTCCTGCATGGCCTTTATATTTGTCTAAAACCAACTCTTCTTGCGAGTTTCTTCTCAAGTTGCTATCCATGGTTATGTCAGAGTCACTCTCCGACAGTTGGGCTATGTCATGGGTCCAACCTCTAGTAATCCATTAGTGTGCTTATTTCCCTGTGTACTTATCTAGGGAAACTGATAAATGCTGCAGGTGCTGAGTTGCAAATTACTACCCATGTAAACTTCACAGCCACAAAACCTCTCTGAAGGAGATGGACGGTTTCAAAATTTAATAAATAAATACAAACTAAGTAAAAGGAAAGCCCAACAATCTAAATACTAAAGAATACAGAAACTGATGGCATAAGCACCCAATCCTTTAACCCAATCCCCCTTACAACTCTTCACTAAAAAAAATTACAATCTCGAGTCTCTATTGATTCCATCAGGTAATTCCTTCCAAAACGCATGGGATTTCAAGTTGAGTGGCAGTCTCCATGGTCAAGCCACAATCAATAATCATGGGGACCAGAATAGTATTGGACTCCTCAATTGTATTAAACTATAGTGGGGGAAATGACAGGGAGGGGAAAATTTGTTCTGCTTTCCATCTACCTTCTCAGAAACCTCCTTCCTAATTTTTAGTGCAGAGACTGAGGCCAAGATTCAGGCAATGAAAAGAAGAAAGAGTACCCAGTCTCTTCCCTATTCCCCTTCCCAACAGCTCCACAAGCTAGATCAGACAAAGAAACCAATGCTGCATATTTTTTTAAATTTTTATTTTAAACACATAAACACATTAACAAAAACAAACACATGACTTAAAACAACATANCTGAGCTGAAGGAAGCATGGTCTTTTCCAGGACTTCAACATACTGCTTGGAATTCATGATTCCCTGCATGATTTGTATCTGACCAATACCAGAAGCAGTGATACAGCCCCAGATTATGACGTGCAATGGATGCTTCAGAGAGATTCAGCCAGTACAGCCTAAATTCTTCAGCTGGAAATCTTCTGACATACTTATTGCACTAATTCCCAGTCAAGTAGAAATTGTTCTCGTCACTGAAGCTGACCTTGGCCCACTGTTTGTTGGTCCACTTGGCATACTTCTTGGCCTACGCACATCGACAAGAGTGGTGAGCGTCTGTGAGCAAAGGTTTACTTCAAGCCCTGCAGCCTTTAAGCCCTCTGGCAAGCAGTCTGCGATGCACTGTGTTTGTGTACACTTTTATATCACATGTTTCACCCCAAATTCTTGTAATCTGAGGTGAAGTGAGTTTCCTGTCAGCCATTGAAAGGCGTTGCAGAGCCCAATCTTGCCATTTTGTCGACTTTCTTGGTCTTCCAGAGCAAAGCCTGTCATCAACTGAACCAGTTATTTGTTATTTTTCAACCACTCTGCTCACCATGGTGCAATGACATTTCACTTTCTTGGCTATTTCTGTACTGGAGTAATCCTCTTCATGAAGCACAAAGATGTGATGCCACTGCTCAGTACTGATGAAAGCAAAGGCCTTCATCCTTGCCCACATCCAAAGCTAAATTAAATTTCTCGATCCTTTTCATCCCTATTTATAGTCAGAGAGTATGACAACATTGATTGGCTCATAGATTTAGCCTCTCTGCATTTTGATTGGTCAGCCAAGCTCACTGCTGATTAGCTACTTTTGGTCCTAACGTTCTTGAAAATTCAAGTTGTGTTTGCTAGCACATTTGGTCATTCTCTTGCACAATTCCCTCAACCTTTATTAAATTGTACAAGATAGAAATGATATTGCTATTAGCTCTCAGATTTTGTGTACCAAATCATTGGAAAACTACATTTTATTTTTCAATTCACAATTCAGGTAGTTGTCACTTAACAACAACTGAACCCAGAATTCTGTTTGTAAGTCATTATGATCATTAAGTGGGTCACCATGTAACTAATTCAGTTTTACAACCACTTTTATGATGGTTGTGAGTCATGCAGTCATTAAGAGAATTATATGGTCATTAAGTGAATCATGTCATTAAGCAAGTCCATTCTCCCTCCCCTTTTTTTGCTGAAAACTAATTAAAAATGAAAGAAATCAGCCCAAAACAGGATTTGAGGGAGGTACAGGCTTTCTCCATTGCTACTGTTAGACCACTTGCTGGTAAGACTCCAATTCCCTGATTCAGAAAAATATTCCTTTCTCTTAACTACTAATTTCTGGAATATTTTTGGTTGGCTGATTTCTCCTTTAAAGATAACATGCACTCAGCTAACTTTGACTTACCTTGAAATCTAAGCAATTTAGGATCTAGATGGTATTTCAGTGGGAATATTTAGGAAATCTCAAGCCTGTAGGCCACACTGTGAAGCCCCGCCCCCCCCAAGGAAAAAAATCTCAAAAAAATGACAAAACTAGTTCTATATTATTGGTAAGAATATTATTTGGATCTATAATTACCTGTAATTATAAAAGGTCACACTCAACTTTAGGTACACCTAATCATTTTCTCTTTCCAATATCCATTTGCTCTTTTAATATCATATATTGGTTGACAAATTTCCTTTTCCAAGGTTTTATAGATGCTGTTAATTCCAAATTGAAAATCTGCCTCATTATCTGCTTTACTGTCTATTCTAGACACCTATAAATGTCTATTCTTAGCAAAATTGCTAGGCTCTTAATATCTAGAGCCTAATGAGCACTTAGTGGCATTTTTGTTATTAGATTGCTAACCTCCAGTGCAAGGTTTCTTTTATTATGACAATCTTAATAGGAAGGACCAATGAAAGACATGGCAACTATTAGGATTTGATCATTTTATGGGACTTCCAGGGGAAAAAATGGCAAACTGAAGATGACAATTGCAGTGGAATAGAGTCAGCAAGTGACTGCAATAGAATAGAATAGAATAGAATAGAATAGAATAGAATAGAATAGAANCCGCCTGCTTACCTTCCGAAGTAATCGGGGACGCAGAGAAACTAAACTAAACTAAACTAAACTTGTGGCGAGATGGGCGGCAAATAAATTTAATACATAAACAAAACATTTAACAACTAAATATAAAAACTACTCTTAAAGCATCTATGAGGCTGCCTTTCGATGTCCGACTCCTGGGAACATGCCATGTTCATGATACAGCATTGAGTGACTTAATATTTGTCACGACCATCTTAGGAGAGGGGCAGAAGAAAACATTGCCTATCTACTATCAGGAGGGTCCCAGTTAAGTCAGGCAAGTTGTACATCCTGTGGGTCTTGGCAGCCAAGAAATGTCAGCTGGCAGAAACAGGCTCTTCCCTCTGGAATACTTTTCCTTTAGATATCAGGATAAGTCCAACCCCATTAGCCTTTGCAAGAATGTGAAGACTTGATAGTGTGTCTGGGCCTGGGCTTTAAGTTTGTTAAGGACTCGGTTTCCTGGCTGTATTAATATCCATCATAATTTTACCTGGTGCCATATATATTTATTTTATAATGCTTTTATAGTATTAAATTCTTTTTAAGATTTATTATTTATTTATTTTATAATTGAATTTGCATTGCTGCCTATTCACCTGTGGCGACTCAAGGCAGCTTACAAAATATAAAACCGCATTTAAAACAGTAAAACTAATAAAAAGATTCCAATAAATTAATATAATACCCCTGCCCCAGTGACAGCAGATCACACAAGCCATTTAATGGGCTCCATCCCCCTCTGGGTTCCCCAGGCCCGCTGGCAAAGTCATGTCCTCAATGCCTTCCAGAAGAGAAAGAGTGGGGGCCATTCTAATCTTAGGGGGAATGATGTTCCAGAGAGGGAGCCACCACAGAGAAGGCCCTTCTGGGTCCCACCAGAGGTATCTCCCTCAGGGATGGGACCCGCAACATTCCCTGCCTCCCTGCTCTGATGAGTCAGGTAGATGTGACCGGGAAGAGATGGTCCCTCAGATAACCTGGTCCCAAGCCATGGGGAGCTCATTAAGATTTATTTATTTGGCTTAGATGCCACTGCAATTAATACTATGCACCTTGCATACCCACTTTTTTTTTTAAAGGTTGAAAATAACCATTAGAGATAAGAGCAAACAGCTCACAAAATTTCCATCCCAAGGGCTTTGGGGAAAAAAAAAACATGTTTTGATAGCTGTTCTAAAACTGGCACCCTCCAAAATCCCTGATAATCCCTGAGCCAAAGGTACTTGAGAACCTCTTTGGCATGTTCTTGTTCCTTCTTCCAGGCCTGTACCTAACTTTTCCGTTCTAAAAAAAAAATAATCAAACTTTTGTATGTAGCTGCACAGAAAGATTTTGGGGTTAATTTTCCTGCCATGCAGGGACACCCTTCATACAGGAAAACAAACTGTAATTACAATGGTGGTATATCCAATTGTAAAGGAAAACTTGATCTGAGTTTTGCTTCTGCCCAACTGTTATGCCTAAATAGACAGATAGACGGATGGAGGAATGGACAGATGGACAATTTCTTAGATCTTTTGCCATCAATACATAAAATTGATTTTGGAACTGTAATATCACTGTGCTCTTTATGGTTTTTAAAGGTTTTTTTTTTAAAGGAAAGGTTTTTTTTCTTGGCTTAACATGCTACTATGAATCAGTATTTTTGAACTACTTTATTATAACATTATATCCCCACTTATAGTTTACCACTTATAGTTTATTACCAGTATAGGTCATGTGCAAAATCTTATTACTTCAACTTAATAGTTTTTCTAGTGAAGTTCTAATGAATTGCTGCTTGGAGGCAGAAATTCATGCTGTACAATTTATTGGTTGAGAAGAGATATCAATAATTTTATTTTTCTGACATTTAAAATTTGTGGTTTGGTTTTTTAAAAAATACTATGAAATTAGCTAAGCCAAATCCTCGTATCAATGATGGCTAACATTTTTGTCATTCCATGCCGAAAGTGAGCATGCACATGTGACAGTGTGGGTGTGAATGCCCATACCCATAATGCCCCCCGTGGCTCATTTTGGGCCTAGCAGGCCTCCCTGCAGCCTCCTCCTCTGGACCAAAAATGGCCTGCAGAGGGGTGGGGGGGAGCACTGCAACTCCCTATGCCCCGCACATGCAGAGTAGAGACTCCAAAATCCTGGTTGACGGGAGGCGCGCACACATGTGTAGTGGAGCTGAGCTGGGGCAACAGCTCACGTGCCCGTAGAGAGGGCTCCATGTGCCACCTGTGGTACGCATGCCATAGGCTCGCCATAACAGCCTTATATGATAGTTACTTAGTTGAGAATGAAAGTAAAATAGTCCACTGGAATTTCAAGCATACAATCTGTATTCAATTGCGATACATTTTATTATTTTTATAATGATAGTGAATACATGGGAACATTAGACACTTGTCATATGCATTTCTTTTGAATTTATGTGAAATTATTTTATAAATTATTAATTCCATCCTGGAGGGAAAAGTGTTTTCACAATAGAGAGACCAATCTTATTGGTATAGTAAAATATTCTTATATTTTAATCCATTTGATAGTCACAATGAAATTCATAGCTTCCCCCCTTCTTATCTTTGCAATGACTCCTCTGCCTTGTCCTCTCTGACAGCTATATGTAATTGATTTAAACTTTTTGTTTCCTTTTTAAAGTAACAATTTAAATACATATTTTCGATTTATTTAGGCTAGGTGACCGAAATATTACAAAATGCATGTTAAACATAATATATTCATATTGTTAAAAATTGCTTTATACATGTTTATAAGAAGAAGCAATATTTAAAAGCCCTTATGATATAATGTCAATTTTTCACAGAGAAATATGGAATGTTATACATCTTATTATCAACAATATTAGAACACTATGAATGTTCATGGTAGTAGTTCTGCTTTGTAAAAAAGGTTTTAGCCAATTGCTGTAATTATCTAGACGTACATAGATCCCTGGATTTTGTGGTCGGCCACAACCACGGCCAAAGCTGGTTATTCCTACCAGATAATATTGTGCCACATCTTGGATATAACACATCAACGGTCCGCCACTGTCTCCCTAAAAAAATGAAGGAATTAATTTGAATGTTAATTAGAATGCATTTACATTTTAAGATATTGAAGGCCTATTTGGACATGAATTGTTAAAATATTTTTTCTAAATATATGGAAAGTTTGAATTAGGCAATCTTGTGAGTCATTTAGAGAGCAGTGTTACAAAGTGCACTTAGCATTCAGCCCATTTAATTAAATGGGGCTACTTTTGGGTAAGTTGTGCAAGATTGCTAAATCAGTGATTTAGTTAAATGATTAGCATTACTAAATATCTTCATTAATATTTTGGGCATTCCATTTCCAGTATAAATATGCTTACTTTAAAAGTTAAGATATACATCTAGAAATACTTAACAGTATTCATCCTCTGCTAAGTTTTATGATTACTACATATGCAATGTTGAAATGAACCACTTTCAACCTTTATTTCAAAATTGTTTTGTATGGACACAAAGTGGTTGAAATATTCTAAGCAAAGTAAAAAATATTACTTGAACTAAATTGTGATGTTTGTTTTCTCACAGAAAGTATCAATT